AAATAAATTAGCCATCTGTTAACATCAATGTTCAGATAACAGGTGGCAAACAGGTTTGGTCGGTTTATTATCTGGTTTATCCAGAAAAAAAAATATTAACGTTATGCAAAAGTAATAACTTTGAATGGCATTCACCACGATTATTAATATAAATTTACTCATTCTCTGGCCGTAATATTATATACAACTAAAAAAAAACGGCAAATTGTAATGCAATCCAAGAAAACAGTCCTGTAATAAATGCTAGGTTTGTTAAAGTTGAAAATGTTTATTTGTTGGAGACATTATCAGAGATGTGTTAATTAAAATACTAAAATCGAAGGTAACATTAGGTTGTTTAATGTTATATGGCATTTTGGTTGTTGAACGTTCATTACCCTGTGTTTTAAAGTTTTCAGGCTTGGATCGGAGGTCCTGTGCCATTTGTCTTGAACTCATCATTTACTACTATGATGGCTGCATCCCTCATTTAAAGTTGTGTTTTTGTCTAAATTAAGAAATTGCAGACGGATGGACTAAGTTTTGGATTGGGACTAGGATTAGGATAAGGACCACTCCCACAGCTATTTGTGAAAACACGAAGTGATCTTAAAGTCTGCAGGTGCCCCCATTCTGTGTCAGCAGTGCCATTCAATCAACCACCATGTCAGATGGCCGGATCTACGTGGGGAACCTTCCCGTTGATGTCCAGGAGAGAGACATTGAGGATCTCTTCTATAAATATGGAAAAATCCGTGAAATTGAATTGAAGAACAATAGAGGCACTATCCCTTTTGCCTTCGTCCGTTTTGAAGACCCACGGTGAGTTTTTGGGATGGTCTTTGCCAAGTCGAATCAGATTCCCCTTGTTGGATACCATAATTTCTGTGGTATAATACCGTCTCCAGTGACTGCCAGCAGGGAATGGATGGAGACTGCATTTCCAGGTCAATGTCCGCTTGTGAAACAGGCGTACTTTGGTAAGGAGTTCTTTGCTCTCTTCTCTTAGGGATGCGGATGATGCTGTCTATGGAAGGAATGGATATGGATATGGAGACTCCAAGCTTCGTGTAGAGTATCCTCGATCCTCTGGTGCTAAATTTGGTCCAATGGGAGGTGGTGGAGGAGGAGGAGGAGGAGGACCTAGGGGAAGATTTGGACCCCCAACTCGAAGATCTGAATTCCGCGTCATAGTGACTGGTAGGTGGACGTCATGAGTCATAGGCAGTTAATATTTGTCTTTCACTGCCACCTGGAAGTCAAAGGGACTGGTAGGAAAGTGGACGTCAGAGTCGTAGGCAGATATATTTCTCTCTCTCTCTCTCTCATGGCGGATTGGAGGACAAGGGGCCTAGTAGAAGACGTCATGAGTCATAGGCAGATACGTTTCTCTCTTGCTTGTGGCGGATTGGAGGACAAGGAGACTAGTAGAGGACCTCTTGAGTATTAGGCAGATATGTTTCTCTCTCTCTCTCATGGCGGATTGGAGGACAAGGGGACTAGTAGAGGACGTCATGAGTCGTAGGCAGATATGTTTCTCTCTCTCTCATGGCGGACTGGAGGTCAAAGGGACTAAGTGGATGAGGTCAAGTCAGCTCCTTAAGTCATGAAAAACAAAACGGTAAACTGAAACCGATCATGTTGGCTGCATAATCCCAAACACCAACTATAGTGACTGGTAGGTGTCATTTTGTCATTGTCTATCATTAATTATTTGTTATGTGCTAAATTTATCTCATGTTTATACAAGCATGTTTTTACAAACTGTTAGAATTGGACTGCTTATCTAAGATTAACCCCATAAAATCTTAGGTTTATATAGCTTCCTGACTTGAGCAGTCATGCTAGAGCAGATTTCAGGAAGTACAACACAGTGGGTTTCTGGTCTGAAAAAATTGAGGTTATCTGAAATAGCCACCCAACAATTTCATTTAAATTATTTTTATATTTGCTTCTTTCATCTGCAACAGTTAGATTTCCTCAGTCAAATTTGCACCATACACAGGATATTGATTGGCAAAGTGGTTAGAATTATACCTCTCAGGAGTTTCAAAAGTAAAATTAATACTCATTTTACCATTAAAAATTAAGGTGGTTGTCCATTGAGTAGTTCCAACTCTTGGTTTAACATTAAACTCTGAGTGTAACTATGAATAACTATATTGGAAGAAAAATGTCAATGATTAAAGACCATGTACATAAGCACTTTGTGAGATAAGAAAACTACAATTCCCAGAGAGCACTGTCATGAGATACAGCCAATCTATTTAAATCTAGCTTTTAAATTTCAGTTGCTGTTAAGCTCAGACTTCTTTTAATCTATTTAAAATGTTTTGTTTAGCTCAGTGGGTTTAAGCTTTGGACAAAAGATTAAACCTGTCCCTGCAATGATTTTAGGTTTAAAAAAAAAAAAGTAAATTAAAGCAGGGAAATAACTTCTGTCCCCATCACATTTGTCTTTTTCCCATTTCAGGGTTGCCACCAACTGGAAGCTGGCAGGATCTGAAGGATCATATGCGTGAGGCAGGAGATGTTTGTTTTGCAGATGTGCAACGAGACGGAGAGGGTGTGGTGGAATTTCTCCGCAGAGAGGACATGGAGTACGCTTTACGCAGACTGGATCGGACCGAGTTCCGTTCACATCAAGTGAGTGCCAGTGATGATGAGACTTAACTGTCCTTTAAATGGTTAAAGAAACCAATGTTATGTTTTTTTCCTTTTTGAAGGGTGAGACTGCTTACATCCGTGTCTATGAGGAGAGGGGCACTCCCAACTGGGGTCGGTCGCGTTCCCGCTCCAGATCCAGAGGCCGCTATTCACCTCCCTACCATAACAGAGGATCTCCCCCTCCACGCTACCAGTCGCCTCCACGCCACGCTATGTCGCGCCATAGTCCACCCCCCAGGAGGCACCCCCCACAGCACCATAGCCCACCGCCACGTCATTATCGGTAGAAAGGCCCGTCATTTATAGAGGAATTGGGGAAAATGTTTTGTAATTTTACTTTTAATTTTATTTTTTTTAAACCCCAGGCCTCCTCGTAGGATACACCATTGTTACTTCTTGCTACATACATTCCATGGTCAGAATCTCCTGAACACCCTCCCTCCCACAGCCTTAAAAATGTTTTTTCTTTATACTTTAAACATTTGTGTTATCTCGATACAGAATTGAAGATTTTTTTTTTTTTTTCCCTTGGTGAGATAACTGTATTTGATCATTCAATAACATTTAAGGTTTCTTTTATAAAGAAATCCTGGGTTGTACTGTCAGACTTTGACAGGAACCAGTACAAAGATATAATGTTATATTGTCCAAAACTAATTACACAGTTCTGCAGCTATCAGGCTAAAGGTCATACTGCTTTTTAAACTCTTGACAAAATTTTCCTTTTTGTGTCACATTTTTGTAGCTTTAAGTATGAAGTTTTTGCCAATTTAAGAACCTGTGAAGCTAGTCAATATCATCCTCTTACTGAAAACATGTCAAATTAGTGAGCCTTTTAGACTAGTGACACGTTGACTGTGAGCCTCACTTGTCAGATTATTTTTTTAAATGATGTGTGAACCTCTGACCGAGGTGGCCTGTAGGTGGACTATAATTTGTATGCATCTCTAATGTTGTTTTTGGTTTTTTCTTTACCAATAAAATGCAAACTTTTACTGTGATTGTTTCATTCCTTGCCCAAAAATTTGGTTTCAATAGATCATTACTTTATTCATCATACAGTAGCAGATAGTTAACTGGCATGTCGACACTGATGCTAAATGTCCCAGGATATTCTGCTTGGGATCCCTGTCTACTGTATAACACTAGCTTTTAAAGTTAGAACGAGACAACTCATTGCTTGTTTTTCAACCAAATCAATGAAGCCCACACTGCTAATGACAAATGATGTTTGCACGTTCTAACCAAACACAACTTGGTCTAAAAATTCCCATTGCTCTATAGTGGCCCCTTTTTCACAGCAGACATTTTAACTTGGCACAATTGGAACAGCACAGGTGTTACTAATAACATTAATTATGACTCCATCCTACTCAGGTGTCCCAGTAAGCATGCACGATACCAGAGCCCTGAAGCAGCTGTCGTTAGTTTTATTATTTACACCTGTGACATCCCACTCTGACATGTCAAAATGTCTGTGAAAAAAGCCTCTTTATATTTTCAAATAGGTAAATGTTTTATTAGAATTTTGATTAAGGTCAGAGGTATATTATTTGGACAATAAGCTGTCAAATATCCCCTGATAATAGTCTATGAGTATAGGCTACAGTGAATCCTGAAATGTTTTCAACCTTGATGTAATGAAATGTGGTTAAAATGTAGGTTTCCCACCCTCTTCTGTCGTCATGGTGGTGAATATGAATGTCTTAATATGTCTGCTACTAACAGGCTCACTAGATGGTGAAACTTCAGTGGTTCAAGCCCTGAGTTCAAATTTGAATAAAACCAATGCTAACATGCACATGCATCATGAAAAGGTTCTTAAGTTCAGCCGAAGCTAGTATGAGGCTGTGAAATTCCTCCTTTGTGTTTTGCCAGACGATCTTTCTGAGCTGTGGTGAAGGGATAAAAAGGGAATCTTGCACAAAAAAAGAGTTGAACTTCAGAAATATCCACTTGATTTATCCAACTTTTAAAAAAAAAATACTTTATCTCTTCATGGCCAGTATAGAGAAGAGAAACAAATAGACAACAAAAACTTTATAATGTAAATATGGGAATGTGAGTGACTTCAACAATTCTTAACCAATTCTTTAAAGGCCAGAAATGACCCGTCCTTTCAAAGATGTAGGGAGCAAAGATATTTAATATGGTTGACTTAGTGTTCTGGATGGATGCAGCATCTGTATTCTTACATATCACTTTCATATGAGACAGTTTGAAATTAGTGTGTAACCGTATTTTTCGTTACTTATAAAACTGTGAAGTGTGTGAACATTTTCTGGAAGGATACACAAGGCACATGGGATGCAAAATATAATATTTTTTAATACACAACAAATTAATTATACCAGGTGACAATTTGAGAAGACACAGAAAATAAAAATATATTTATTTCCAATGGCATACTTTTATCTTTCTGTTCATTATAATCAGATAAAGCCCATATACTGTACAGACATTGTATTGCATTTAATAAATATGTACTAGCTTGGTTTTTTTTTTTTGTACAATAAGTCAGTTCCTTTTTAACACATTGTATACAGTAAATCTTCTGACAACACACACAGCAATACACAAACAGCAATACTCAGGCATGTTTTTGAAGATCACGTGGAGACACGTTAGCAGTGATATCAAAGCACTGGAATTTAAGCCACAGTGAACCAAACATGGGTGTGCTTTGGCTATTTTGCAACTGTGAGTGGCACCAATAAAATATATTTTCTGACTTATCTCTGTTGGTGTGTAGACTGGTAGATATATATTTTCACCTGCTGATATTTTGAGATATCTCTAAATATGTGAAATTTCTGCCAAACAGATTAGATTCACGTTACTGGGATTTCACTGCGATTGCTTTCTATGAGATAGTCTCAATATAAAGACTCATTGCCATTAAAGGTATGAAATTTTCAACATTTGAAAATTCCATTCACCTCCAATGTCTTAGGTTGGGGGCAGAAGATTCAATGGCGCATATCTCAAAACGTACACACATACAACAAAGATTATATCCATGGCTACATACCACTAAATAGCTATCACTGAAGTGACCCTTAAATGTAATACTTCCGGTGCTTACAAGGCTGTGAAACCCTGACAAGGGTTTTTTTTATCAAGATCACATTTTCCAAGCAGCAAGTTATGACAGTCTGAGCAGCACGGTGCACAGTGGAACAAACAGAAACTCTTGAGTGTGGAGTTAATGCGTTCACTCAAGCCAAAAGGTGGGCAGCAGTAAATCTGGTGACCATTACTGTCTGGCCAAGAAGTGAGCTCTCCAAGGAAATGGAGGGCACCAGAGCCAATTGAGCAGGCTGAGCACAACTTGACTGTCCTTTCAAATGAATAAATGAAATAGGTAAACCCATCAGCGTGGAAGGGCCTTTCTGGGTAAAAAATAGCTGTACAGGGCACAAAATGTAACTGAGGAAGGTGCACGAGAAATGGCCAAAGTGGACCTGTGAATGGGATTCTGGTACCAGCCACAAATGGAAGGTAACCGTTTTTTTAACAGGTACGATCATGGAAATCTTGAGGTAATAGTGAAGAGAAATGCACAGTTACCCCAGGAAATGGTAACAATTACTGTGAATGTTGTTGCCAGCCTTGGCATTTAGAAGGAGCTGACCAGAGTGTGTGAAAGACAAGGCAACCTACTGTAGATCTGCAGGGCAGGACTGAGGCAGAAAACTATGCAACTCTTCAGGGGGAAAGAAAAAAAGGGAAGTGCAGAGCCCAAAGGAACCACACTGCCTTTACTGCATGCCACCGAGTGTACCACCATCAGCTCAAAATAAACCATCAGATGCATAGAGGAGGTGCAAGACGGAAGGAGCACACAGTATGAGAACTGGGGGGACGGAGGAAATGGTAATAATGTGTATGTAAACTATGTGCAATCATGCCGGACTGCACAGAGTTTACATGTTTCAGTGGAAAGGTGGCAGGATATCCTGCTAGCTTGTGTGCATCAGAGGCAAACACAGAAAGAGAGCCATCAAGCCTCAGAAAGGCCTGCAGGAGGTCCTCAAGAAGCAAACCAGTGACCACACATGCTACTTTGACACAATCTAGAATTAACCAACCACAGCTTGGTCGGCAGTACCTTTAATGTTTACGAAACCAAATCATCTAATAACGCCAGATATTAATACTGAACATATTCAAGTGTATCACAAGATGTTCAACCATGGCAGCTACAATTTCAGCAAAAATAATAATACTTAAAATATATTCAAGTGTATCGCAAGATGGTATGAAGTATGGTAGGTATAACTTAACAAAATTAACCTTTAAGAATAACAATACAGTAGAGAATTTGGTTGCTGTATCCCTGAAAAAATAGCTAAGTTTAAGGCAAAAATAAATAACATCCTGAAGCAGTTTCAACAAGGGTACATTCACTAGTTGAACAATAACACTTTTAAAATAATTTCCTGACTATAGAAAGGGGCAAGTGGAGATAAGTTGTTATATGATCTAAGAATAATGAGCAGTTTTATTATCTTTCCCGCACTTACCAATGCATTTCATTTACATCAATTCCTTTCCTCTTGAATACATGACTTTCATGTGGTTGTGTCAGTATCCTGAAACAATCTATCATCATTGGAGTTTTACAGCAGCATCGTGCAATCACTTGTTTTCTATGAGAGTCTGAACTTTGTGGACCAAGTCTCGAGCCATCATCAGGACTTGGGGGACATTGTGTCGCTCTGCCATTTCTGAGAAGAGAATTTGAAAATCATTGTGACTTAATAATAATAATAATAATAATAATAATTACTTAATACAGGGTAAATTAGTGCATTTGACAAGAAAAGGTTATGTAGACATTTGATGTCTATTTTGAGATGGCTCTACATTATCAGCTGAAATATCATCTTAACCAAATGGTTTACTTTGCTTCAACTGGTTATTAGTTTTAATTATTATTATTATTATTATTATTATTATTATTATTATTATCCTGGTGTAGTTCTGAATAAGATCTGGTAATAGTTTTTCAGTACTACTTTCACTATATTGTAGCATATGTGTATTTATCATCTCATCTTACCATTGAAGAACTTGATGATGTCTGTGAAGTCCATGTTATTTTCTAGGATGATGTCTCTATACATCTCCACAAGTGCCAGAGCAATGAAGAGCACAAAGTGCTCGGAGGAGGTGTGCTTGGCGGCCCAGATGGTTTCCCACACGGAGAACACATCATCATACACCATTTCTGTTTGGAAAAAAACAGCAAGAACTCCGATTATATGCAGCATCATGTTGTGTGCGTGATTTAATGTGAGTGATTTAAGCAAATAATCATGATGCCCGCATTTACCTCTTTTGAAGTCCAGTAGAAACCAACGATAGCAGAAGTAGAAGTGGGTATAGTCTCCATTCTGCTGCATCAGTTCAAACAGCTCAGAGTCCAGGATCTGAAGGTATAAAAACAAAATGCAATCATTACCCTACAGCTTGTTTGAATATGCATTAATATGCATTTGTTCGTATACATGTACATACCTGGATGAGAGAACGCATATTGGCAAAGTGAGAGTCCATGGCACCTCCGTGAGGAAAATTCTGGTTCATCCTCTTCATCAGTTCAGTGAAGCAGCTGAAAGCCATGACCTCTGGGAAGCACAAACATACACACACACACACACACACACACACACACACACACACACACACACACACACACACACACACACACACTTTTAACAAGCCGCTTCTTGCAGCTTCTGCAAAGCTGATAGACAGAGTTTGCACATAAGTTTCACTGACCATCATCCAGGATAACCAGTAGAGGAGCCAGCAGGTCACACATGCCCTGGACGTAACCTGTATCCAGATGCTGCCACACGTAACTACGAAAACAAGATTTTTATCATAGTGTTGGTTTCTCTCACAAACAAACCTCAGATATATTTCGCATTGGCGACACATTTACCTGCACATGATGTTACGCAGCTTCTCCAGGTTCTCAGGCGTGAAGTACCAATATGTTCTGTCGCAACGTCGGACATCTTTGTCAATGCGATGTAAGTTGATCAAGTACATGTCCAGTATTTCTTGCTAAAAAAAAATTATAGTGAATTCAGTTAGTATATGTCTACGATTAAAAGAAGAAGAAGTATGCCTGTTCGTCACGCGTGATGCTTACAGAATAGGTTTGTCCCTCCAAGGATTCATCATGTTTGGTGTCTCCTCCCACATCTCCGGACTCTGGTTCAGCGAGCACATTCTCCATCTCAGGCTCATCTTCAGAGAGGCCCAGGTCGGTGCCCTCAGGACTGGTGTTACAAGCTGTGTCCAGATGGTGATCTAGGACAAGGCCCTCGGATGCCATCTTCTCTCTTTGTGCCAGAGAGATTGGTGGTGCGGCAAGGCCTGCCAAAGGCCTGGCCTTAATATCCTCAGAGTTCACACATGTTATCCCTGCAGGAATGTCCTCCATTTCCAGGGCAGATGGAGAGTCATCTGAATCTGCCGTGTCCGGAGACTGCCGAGAGTGGGATGATAATGAAAGGCTCCCCCTCGACGCTGACTGGAGAGCGTTCAATACTTGTCTGACTGGTGAATTTGTACCAGGTTTATCAAAGGGAATTTCTGCAGCTTTGTCCTTTTTGGTTTCAGCCAAGTCACAAACTGTTGCTTCAGCTTCCTTTCTTTCTGACTCTGTGGCACAGCTCTTGATCATTTGTGATGGGTTCTTTTCAGAAGGCGTTTCAGGTTTTACAGAAATCTCAATTTGATGATTAGTATCTTTTTCTGCTGTAGGTGGAGATAATGGCTCCACTTCCAAGTCTTTGCTCTTGTGGACTTGAAAAGTCAAGGTCTGCCCAAGTGGAGGTGCCTGGAAATATTCATTATGAATCTCTTTTTCCAGCTTTAGAACATTAGTGTTCTCTGGAGCAGATCTTATATTCATATTTGTGTCTACCTCTTTTAAATCTTTAGATTGCTCATTTGTTGTTATATCTTTTTCTTCTACTTCAGGTTTTTCTTCAGCTTCAGATGTCTCTTTTGACCTACTACTTCCAGTTTCCCCAGCTGCCTCATGTTCTGAAACTGTCTCCATCTTTTCCGTCTCTGAAATCTTGTCCTTGGCTGCTGGGTCCATAACATATGTTCCTTCTGGCTGTGATCCAGTTGTAATTTTCTCATTTAAGACTTCTGATGCTTCGGCTGATGGCTGAGATGTTGTAGGTCCAACAGTTGACTCTGTTACAGGAGTACTATTTTCTAAACCTGGATGTTGATTAGACAGATCTGGAGAGGAGGGGTTTAGGGAGGGAAGTTGTGGCGAGTCCGCAGTACCATTTGAGATATCCTTCACTGGACTGCTGTGCTTGACTTCTCCTTCCTCAGGCCTGGGCCCAGACTCAATCTGATCCACTGCTTCGACTGATCCAAATAACTGGTAACCAAAGAAAAGTGGTGAACATGCAGCACATTTCAACAGCACTGTGATGGACTAATGTTGAGGGATTACACCAGTATTTTTGCACATGTTAGCCCATTAGTGTACAAATCACAATCACTCTACATTACTGCTGAAAAATTCCCAACCATCCAAGCAGGGCAGCGTTTGGGTTCCATTCATTTCATTTCCAGATAAAATCACTTTGAGATTTGAAACATGCATAGGATGTAATGTGTAATCCATCATAATGAACATTTGAAATTTGAACGTTGGAGAGGAAACTCTTCAACCTCTCTATTAGATTGGCTCTAGAGATGGCAATATCAGTTGGTTGGTCGGTTCTTAGGTCAGTCCACTACTTTGTCCTAGACTGAAATATCTCAGCAACTACTGAATGGATTCCTACAACATATGGAACAGACATTCATGTTCCCAGATGATGACAACTAATGATGTATGTGAGCCCCGGACTTTTCCTCTGGCACCACCTGCAGGTCAACGACTTTACTTATCCGGAGAAATAGGTGAGCCTCTGGCACTTCAGCTAGCAACTTTATCGGGTTTGTTCACTAATACTAATAATAATGCAATAGGTAAATAACACTGATTATTTACCTATTGCAAGAAGGTTTCAGTGGATCAATTTTAATAGTGTTTTAAAATTAATGGAGGCCAACGGCTGCCATTCTAAAATGTAATAGAATGCTGTGGAAAATGGAACTTGTTAACTACAAATCAATTGTAATAATTGGGCTAAAACCTGCAAAAACACTGGATTGATCTATTATTATTGTAGATGTTCATGCTTATGAAAAACCACCTGTGCGCTACTGCTGGAATCACTCTGTGAGTGGGTGTTCTGTTGATCTGAGCTGCTACTCAGAGACGACTGCGGTGGAAAAAGCATAACACAAGAGACAAATAGCAGCAGAACTGTCAGCCAAGTTACTTATAAATTTAATAATCATATTACTATAAAATGTTCCCTTTCATCTTGCGTCTATTTTGATAATAGTTACATAACACAGCACATTTTTATGCTAAAACATCAAACTTGCATCTGTACTGATGGTAGAGTCCCGCTGCACTGGTCCTCTCTCCACACTGGCTCCAGACAAACATCTGGCAAGAGCCTCAGCGTGTTTCTCTCTCTCCCTCTGACGGACAATGGCCTCACAGCCCTGCCACTCCCTCAGAGTCTGCTCATACATGATCCGCATCTGTTCATCAATCTGACACAGGAACTTTGTGTAAACAAAGACTGTGACATATTCAATGCTGTCAACATGTATTTGTATATATTGCACGCTACCATACTTTGCCAATCTGACAGAATATCGAAATACCTCCAGCCTGGATTTCTCAGTCATGGTGAACTGGTAGTGTCCCAACAGGAAAGGCCAGACCTCTTTGCGTAGTGAAGGGGCCACACCACCAAAATACACAAGCCTGTGTATCTCCTTCTCCTCATAGGCCTGAACAAAAATACATTTATTATTTATTAGCTCACACTGAAATCACACACTCAATAAGAACCATTCAAATAACTAAAAACAAAAATATATTTTATGGCCTGTTGCTCAGGTGTGATTCTTACAGAGCTGTCCTTGAGGAACCTGCCCCACACCTCCACAGAGAGGCCTCCTTGGGCATCACAGGGCACATCAGGGTCAACTATACTGGTGTTCACCAGAGCAGAGAGGTGGGTACGGACTGTTGACAGATGACGGCAGTATGCAAGCCCTGGAGAGGAAAGAAAAACATTTTCATATTGATAAGAACTGTTGTTTCACCAAGAAACAATCAATTTGAATGAAATTATTTCCAAATCAATTAAAGTTAACCTTCAGTTGTTTGTACTCACATCCATAGAAAGCACGGGAGATTATCTGGTACTTCATGGTGTCACAGAGGAGTTTTAAGGGAGCCCTGGTAGAATGGGAAAATGGAAAACTTAGTCAAGTAGAATAATCTGAATATAGATTTGAGCCTGTCCCTGGGAAATAATTACCTCTCTTGATTACAGCCATTAGGCAGAGAGCCATCAGAAGAGCCATTTTGTGAGCAAGAGGAGCACGAAGACTTCCTGGGGGTTGGTTGCCACATGTTCACACCCTGGTCCATCAGCTCTAGAGCCACTGAACAGCATAATAGCCCTAATCATTACTGCTGCTACCATCAACATCATAAGAAAGTAAAAACAGAAAATTGGTGCATGTCTGGAAATAAGAAAATGAAGAAAAAAAACATGGGAAAAAACAAACCAAGTGAGAGGATGAAGATGGAGATGTGGCAGACAAATGACTTTATGTCCATGCAAAGTCTCCTATAATGTGAAATGGACACACAGGCACTAAACAGGCAGGAAAAAGAAAATAAATGTATAAATTTAACATCAGAGAGAGAAAATGAATTAGAAAGGCGTACAGTGAATATATGCCTGGGGAAAACAGATTTATCCAAACTGAAGTTGTCTAATTCGTTCAGTTCAGTTTTAAGAGCTGATCGCAGATGTAATCTATGATGAGTTTTCATTAGATTATCTGAGGGAGGCAGAACAGACAGATTAAAGACACTCACTGAACTCCATCTGATTGCCAGGAAAGAGGATCCGAAACACATAATCGGTTGCTTCATCATCTTCCTTATCTGATACAGAATCACATGAGCCGTGTGGACTCCTCTTTCGCAATTTGGGGAAAACCTTTCCCTGTGAATGGAAAAGGCCACAGTAGCACAGCTAACTATAAGCAGTGCATGAAGTAGAAGAATTGTTACAACAAATAAAGTTGCAGGTAAATGCAGCATCATTGCAACAGTTATTGGGCTTAAATGGCTAAAGAAGTCTTGCATTATCCACTGTCCACGCTGACCTTTCCTCTCTGATTCCAGAGGGGCGGGTCCAGTTGTCCGTGAGGTAGCAGGCCGGTCTCCAGGCAGGTGAGAAACTGGAGGAGGTGGCCTCCTTTGGGGAAATGTAAGGGAGGTCTCTGGATCCCATCCTGGCTCACCAAAACTACTGTCCCACCACTGTTCACTGGAGGGGTTAACACAGTGGGAAACAAGATAAACAACACTTCAAACTCCTCGGGATACAGTAATACAAAAAGGCATTACTGTACCTTGCTGATGACAGTGGAGATACACAATCTCTTCCAAACGAATAGTCATGGCATAATCCCAATAAACACTGAAAGAAAGACGAGCAAATGGGAGCCACTGAGTCAGCAGCGTTTAAAAACAAGATCTTACTCTTACTCGTTCGGCTTCTATCACTCTAACTAACCTTTTCTCCGAATCCAGCTCCCCCACATTGCCATTCATCAGCTGATTGGGCGTCCATTTCAGTGTCATAAGATCCGCAGTTTGATGTAGAGAAAGGTAGCCTGGGATCGCCTCCATGTCATCTCTCTGCACACACAAATGAGAGTTTTAAAATCACAACGTGTCTGATTGTGATATTGTTTGGATAACTTGAGTAGGAATCAATTAACAGATTCACCAAGTTCCCCCAGAATGTGAACAACCTTCTATCAATATTCACTCACTTAAAGCAGATACTAGACTTGTATAATTAAGAAATAGAAATACACTCACTGGCTGCACCAGGACATTGTTCTTTCCAAACAGAAGTGTGGCTCTGGAGTTTTGGTGGAGTGATTCAACGTATTCCCTCACCCACATGAGAGGGCGATCGTCCATGCTACCGCTGGACTGCCTCTTCTGGATCTGATACAGAGTTAGGATGACATCAGAAGTATTACACATCTGATAATATATACGGTAGTTTATAGCTGATCGTTTCAGTGAAATCAACAAAGTCGTTGACTGTCTAACCAGGGCAGGTCGTCTGGAGGGAGAATCCTGCCGACAGTGGCCGCTGTGGATACGATGTCGCTGTACGAGTTCGTCAGCAGATGGGTCCGTCCAGAAATGGTCTGCAGTCTTCACTTTGGTGTACTCCAAAGCACAGGGGCCAACTGCAAAACAAGATTAAAGTAGAACACATATTTTCAAAATCTGTATTACTGATAGTATAAACTGAAATTTAGTATAGTAAAGCAAGGTAAAGGGTTTAGCTGTTACAGTGTAGTACAGTGTCACACCATGTGCAGATTAGTGAGGTTTATATATACCCAATAGAGATGCAAGAATTGGTCCATCCACAGGATCCATCAGCATAGCTTCTTTCTCATAGAAGGCACTGCAGGAAACAAGATTGAGAAAATTTAGAGCGTAATAGGATTTTAAAATGATCGCTGACTTCCTGTTTGCACATCATGGCTGTCGAGGAGATCTGTAAAAAAAAAAAACACATAATATGGGATGTTGACATATTGTAGAGTGTGTGTAACAGAATGTGTAAAGTAGACTAATCATTTCTTACAGGGGATTGCTGAAGGCAAAATGATGGCACTGAAATAAGTAGACAGTGTTCTAAAGTCAGGGACACAGAAATGCATTAAATGATGTTTAACAATACCTGCTGTTCTCTACCAAGTACAGGACAATCTTGTCTAAGAGCTTCTCCATCAGGGCAGTTCGGATCCACAGGTGTTTCAGTGCCTGAGGAGGGAGGTTGGCCAACTTCGATTGCCGACTGCGGTCATTACTCACTGAGGAATTGTTCTGTTTGCTGAAAACCAGAAAGGAAACCTGACAGATGAGATGTCTGTATCGGTTGTTTGAATGGAACACATGTAGGCTATAGGACAGCAGGGCACTAGGATGCAATATGGCACATAAAAGTAGAAAAGATAGACAAGATTGAAAGAGAAAGAAGGCATATATTGATTCTATGTCACTGGCCTCTCATGGGCAGGATTTAAAATTTCACCTGTTTTCAATAAGCTGTTCCAGCTCCTGGACCTTGTGGCAGAGTTCCTCAGCAGGTGAAAAGCTTTTTGCCACCTTCATAAAGAGTGCTGCAACCTTGTTACTGCACAGCAGGCCTGCAATACGGCGCTTCAGTCCATGAAGCACACAGGCCTCCACTACAGCTATACACACACACACAAACACACAGAGTATTACTCAATATTTGGTTTGGATTCAGCCAATGTATTTGGCTTTGAGTTTTGTTTTGATCTCATGAGCACAATACAATTTCCTCTTTGAGAAAGCCTCAAGGCTTAATAGTTTTTGCAAAAAACAAAACAAAACAATAAAACATGTGAAAGGCAAGCACAGGTGGCACAAGCAGAAAATATACTCAAACCTGTCCAACGCTGTCTACTGTTGCTAGGATATGAGGGATGTGAATCACACACGCCTCACTCCTAGTTAGTATCAACACCTTTGAAGGGTGTTAGTCTACTTCAATACAAATCCACCCAAACCACCTTATTAAACATGAAATAGACATGGCTAATAGCATTATGAAAATAAATCGTGAGGATTTCCATTGCTTGAACAGACGGTAAAGGACCATTTTGCACTGTGAGGACGAACTCGTAGGAGGTGAGAGGGCTTGACACAAAGTGATGTCAGCCATCATTCTGTACAGTACATGTAAATGTGTAACCAATACTGTGACCTGTACTGTTGGATACAGTATGTCCTGTGAAGATGAACTATTTTAGGCAAATATATATATATATATACTCGTCTCTCCTCCTTTATAGCAGCCCCTTGTGTGGCCCATAATACCCATTCTTCAGTTAATGTTAAAAATTAAAGCTGACAGACAAGGCACTGCTCATGTCACCTTAAGTTTGGAACAAGCTGACCAGGAAAGGTAGCTTAGTACACAATGCAATCACAGTAGCGCTAATATATATATATAAAAGAAACATTTACCACAGAAAGATATGATGTGGCTGCTGTCAGCATGCACAAATTTCCTCGTTACTGCCTCCTCCATAATTTGTTTCACCTAAGAGAGAAAGGTACACGGTGAGACAAGACTAAATCTGCCTGACGCAGTTACGTAAGGTGACAGAGAGTCAAAACAAGAAGCACACGAGTAAGCAATGGGGGAACATGTTAACGAGAGGCAATGATGAAGGAGCTAGACAAAATCTTTCTTCTGACCCCTGAGTATTTTCATGCACAAACAATAGTCAATGGTCACTATTGACGCAGCAGAGGCCAAAATATCCAGATTTTTAGTCCCTTTTGTCAAATTACTGCACTTCCCCTAATGCAACTTGGTGTCCCAGTGGATGACCCCCCCCCCCATGTGTCAATACACACATCTTAATAACAAGCTTATAACGCAGGCTTTCTTTCATAAGTTTGTAGTCCCCAAGACAAACCTGGGATAACCCTGACGACATCACCAGGGTTGTTTTTCTCAGACCTGAAAGTCCTCCAGATCCACAGACGACATTATATTACTGTTTTCTGTCTGTTAAAATGTTATTGAATACAATTTTAGAGGTTAACATTTTAGATATAGATAGATAGAGATAATACATTTAGATATTGCTTCTTGGATCTATCTGTGGTGTATTTATTCGCTTACATGTTAGCAAATTTACTTGTAAACCCTAATATTCTGGAAAAGGTCACATTCTTCCAAGTATTTATGTGTGCTGACAATGCAACATGTATTCAAAAACCTGACTGAAATTGATATTTTGTTCTGTGCTGTGTGTCCGCAGAATGAGAGAATAGTGGACTGTAACAGTACTATCATAGAGTAAGATGGGAATTCACTGCCTTATTTAAACAAGTATGTAGTAGAATCATAAAGAATGTTACTAAAAACCCAGAGATCCCCGTTCACAATTCAGCTTTGGTTCATCAAAAAACCTACAGTTTCATGATGGGCTTTAAACCTACATTTCACAGCTTAAGCCCCTCCTTGCTGCGGGATCTGGTATCAGAGTCATGGATGTTTGAGAGGCAGTGAGTCACAGGTGAGGGGGTGCATGGACACAATATAAACCTGGAAGTACCCGGCTTTCTCAGCAATGAATAAAACATCCTGCTTTCTCTCCCTGGGGAATCACAGAGTCACTGAGCAGTTAGGAAGGGTCTGCAGTGTGCTCTCCTTAATGCCTATGTAGAGTAATATCCAAATGGCTCATAATTCAGTGATGAAACACCCAGCTTGAGGTGGTCTTTTTGCATTGAATGTTTGCTACGGCACATTCTAAGATGTCAAATGAAACAGATGCCAAGGTCACACCTTTAAGTTCTGAACAACAAGATGCTGTGTTACAGAAATGTCAGTTTAACCATGATTTCCTCGGAGAGAGAGAGAGAGAGAGAGAGAGAGAGAGAGAGAGAGAGAAAGAAAGAGAGAGAGAGACTACCCCAGGAAATGATTAAAAAATACAGATTTTGCATTGATAGAAACACATGAATCTGTACACGACTCCTTGAATTTGTAGTGTTTCCCCTCCCGATATAAAACCATCATCACCACCATCAGTATTATCGTCATCATCACCACCATCGTCATCATCATCTTACGCCAGCAGTGAAAAACAGACCTGCATATAATTTCACTCATCTTAAATGCATCCACTCTCATTATGATGCAAAATTAACGGTAATATTTAATGATAAACAGGCCTGTGGCGTAGTCTGTGGCTCAGACCCGATGGACGGTGTCCACACACACACACACACACACACACACACACACACACACACACACACACACACACACACACACACACATACATGCACACACACACACACATACACACACACACAAACATTGTCTAAGCTTACAGCGCCCAGTAAACATGAACTGTGATGAGCAAGAGGGAAATAAAATGCAGCGAACCTCTTTCTTCACATTGCGCAGCAATTTCTGGCGCGTCTCGGCCTCTGACACGGGAGAAAACATAATGAATATGCTGATCAGATGCTGTATCGGAAATTAATAATGATAGGCTCACGACAGGAAAATAATAAAGGCGACCGTACCTCCCATCGCTCCAGGCAGGATGTGGTGGCTGATGACACGCACAGCTTTTCTGGTGAATGTCTTGAAAGCAACGTAGACAACACCGGTTAGAAGGTGGAGAGGCTCCGATATGTACGATGTGTTCTTAGCGACTAAATTAAACCTATCTGCTACCTCTCAGAGAACCAACACCCCTTTAAAGTCACAGTAGCCTTTACATTAAGCCATGCAACGCCGACACCTACACACATATTCTCCCTCTGACACAGACACAGAAGCGCGCGCGCACACACACACATCTGAATCACAATATGCCAGGTGTGTCTTTGTTCCTATGTAAAGTGATATTAATATTTCAAACATTTTGGTGTCTCATAAAAAGTTTCCTCGTCCCATTTTCCATTAAAATCACCTGAGCCTGATTATTTTTCCCACAGGTGAAACACATTTAATGATTAAACCTAAAGAGCCTTTGCTCAAATCATAGGCCTCAAGAAATGAATTATAACAATTAGACTGCCGAAAGAATTAATCCATTCATATAGCCTACAAACATACTAGGCACAACCTGAAATTAAAAGAGAAGGAAGCTGTTTCCATTAAGCTTCAGACAACAGACAAGCTCATTTCTTTATTCCCACTCACATAAGCACTGAAATGAATGGACTCACATAGACAAACTATCTAAATTCCCTGTTGGCAGGGAAATGATAGACCTAGTGTGTGTGTGTGTGTGTGTGTGTGTGTGTGTGTGTGTGTGTGTGTGTGTGTGTGTGTGTGTGTGTGTGTAAGAGTTTAGATAGACTTTGCCACTCAATCTGCTGCAACACGACTGCTCTGAAGACAAGGCAAAGAGAGAAAAATCTCTGATTCATCTTTTTTTAATGACTGCTGGATAGGTAGCCATGATCTTGTGACTGGAGATATGGCAGTGCACAGGATGATTCAGTGAGCTTTGTTAACCAGAATGGTGCAATTTCATGTAATACATGTGTAATTACCTTGAATTAACGTTCAACATGAAGTAGGAGACAGTGAAATCTAGAATACATACAACATTTTGTGTAGAGGTATAAAGAATTTGTTATGAAATTGATTGACTACAAAGCCAACAAATCAAGACTGTAATTAGCCATAAATTAAATGCATTTAGGGTGAAATTTAACTTGGGGAACTGCATGTATCTTGACAGTGCAGGTGGGAAGAGAGCACTGATTGAGGATATATTCAATACTTTAGCCAGGGAAAAGTATAAAATACAATGCAAATTATTTTAAAGGTATACAAAAGGTTTAACAGCAACACACTCATTATTCAGTAATCAATTGTACTATGATTATTGGTGCATTCATGTTTTAGCAGCATTAATGTTATAACTGGTTAAGGTGGAGCTAATTTTAAGTCATTTATATGTTCTTAATTAGTTTAACCTAGGCCGATCACATGTGTTGTCAAAGTGCAGCTGCCAGATAACTGTCATGGGAATGAAATGTGGTGGGTATAAGTATACAGTAGCACAAAATAGAAATATATAAGTAAAGTACATCAATAACTTGAGAGGCAAATAGATGCTGGTAAAAGTGAGCCTGATTTGTGTTATTCATACCCAGCACCATAGTTTTAATTCCACTTGTGGTGGGCTACAGGCCAAAGGTTGACCAACACAGACACAACCTTCACATTAATAGTTTGCACCCATTACCAGGCCCTTATTGGTGGTGAATAGGACGATATAGGCCTAGGGGCTAGTGGGAAGACAAGACAGCGAAGGAAGCAAGGAAGGAAGCAGACAAGGAGGCAGAGAGGAGGCTGCGTGAGTGTTGGGATGGGACACCGCTTTGTTCAACAGTAGGGGAGGGCAGACGGGCACAGTTGCTTTGCCTGCTGGAAGCGTTAAATACAATCTATTGGGGCTGACTATCTTGTCTTATCTTCGTCCAGCTGTGTTACAACGTACCTTAGAAACATTTTTCTTTCGTGGACTCTGGGGATTTCTATCAAGGGATGTCAAAGCGAGTGCGAAGCAGAGAGGTCTGCGCTGATTGCAGTGCTCCGGGTATGATGTCAAACAGGCTAGCTGTAACGCTAGCTCCCTGGCTAACCAGCTAGCCCTGACTACAACTTAACGTCCAGTTAGCTAACCTAGTTAACATTGCCAAACGCCCGTAACTAATAGGCAGTTTGTTAGCTACATGGTTAATTGTGATAGTAGTAAATTATTTTCTTGTAAAAACATTTGTTAACATATGTCGTGTCTGTGTCTTGCCTGTGTATTCACGCGAACTTGTCTGAATCTGAAACTCTTTGCTTGAAATGTATTTAACGATGGTTTATGGGAGTCTATCGTATCTATCTATAGCTTAATTAGCTACCTTGCTAACTTACCCACGCCTGGTGGCATTAGTAATTGTAATGATTTTTCTTAGAGGTGTCGAAGACATTAGGAAGCAACTAACCTGGTGGGGTTATATGTGGCTGTCAATTAGCAAATATCCTTGTCTAGCTAGAACCGATGGATTATCACAAGTGCTTTAGTTTAAAGTTGTGTGTAACGTCATTATTTAATTACCGTTAGACTTATGCGTTAATTTACATATTTTGCATCTTGTTCTAGAGCCACGCTGGGCCTCTGTGAACAGGGGTGTGTTGATATGCGATGAGTGCTGCAGCATCCATAGAGGTCTGGGGCGACACAGCTCTCAAGTACGACATCTGACTCATTCTCCGTGGCCACCCTCCCAGTTACAGGTGAGGAGACGGGGACACAACCCCCACACATACAAAACATCTAAATGCAAATGCACAGAGTCTATTTTTCATATAGGTATTGAGGTTGCACAATCAGACACATCATTAAGTGGTCGGGACTACCGTAATTCAATTCATGTGATCTGTTTTGTGGTTTCATGTTTTAGATGGTCCAGACACTGTATGGCAATGGAGCTAATTCCATATGGGAGCACAGCCTTTTGGACCCTTCCTCCTCAGTGAGTGGGAAGCGCAAAGCAAACCCCCAGGACAGAGTTCAGTAAGTGCTTTAAGGATTTGATATGTCAGACCAGATTTTGGTAAGCTTGTTTGCTCTTTTGATATAAACCTCTATTGGCAAAATTGATTTTCAGGGTTAAGGTCAGGGAACATGCATAATTGGCCCACTGTACCATGAACATGACTCATGGCCAGTCAGTCTCAAATCACTTTAAGAACTTAATTAAGTTGGTCTGTTGACATGCAAATGGGGTAATGCACAACAAAATGAATGTTCAGAAAATGCAAATGGCAATATACTAATCATGTTAACTTTATGGGATCGATTTGACAATTTTTTTGACTAACCAAATGAGTCTGCAAGCAATAATTTTGAAGGGTTTATGCAGCTTTTCCTTCATTGTGAATGCTTTTTAACTAGCAGTATGGACCATAGCTCAGAAGACACAACAAAAAAACAAAATCTGTGAGGCAAAGAGATGTGATGTAGTCATCCACTGCCAGGTATAAACACTGTGTCGGTTTGGTGTCTGGCTGGTGGAGTAAAGATAAATAGTCAGCCATACATAAACACAGCCGTGCTCAGTCTGACCCTTACACGCAGAGCAAATGCATTCAATCAAGAGACAACAGACAGTTGCAGACGGAGAGTACGCATTGCACCAAACAGAAGGCAGCTGTCCTTGATCTCAAATACATCTTTTAAGATGAATGCTATTTCATTGGGTCCATCCACCGCAGGAACTTTTCTAGGGGTCTAAGAGCCTTTTGAAGAACTAAACCTGTGTTTCTACCAGAGGGACCAGGACTAAACTTAGTTTACCTAGGATAGTTCAAGGTGTTTTAAAAAAAGGTTCCTTCTCGAGGGATTATACTTTATAATGGTTCATGAACTGTTTTGGCAGAGTTTGCTGATTGATTAAACACAGATTGCAGCTGCTTCAACTTCTGTACCGCTTGATTCACAACACAAGGAAGTATTGACTTTAGGACATTAGCTGAAGTTATCTCATTGTTTATTAACTTTAAAAACAATGTCAGGCTTTGTTGTTGACTTCCCCTTTAGTTTAGTATAGTATACTGTACTGTACTCTTATCTATACAGAGATATAAGTGGTCATATGACATGGAGGAGGGATAGATATTTTTTGAATTTCAATGTGAATTTGCAACTCTAACTTCAAGGGAGGGTGTGGGGTTCACAGAAGGGGATCTTCTGGTGAAAAGCTACCTACCTTCATTCTTTTTCTCCTGATTGAAGTAAAAGAAAGGTATCCAGAATCCTGTGTTGTGGTAGGTTGGAGTGTGTGATGGAAGAATTGCTTTGCCGCCAATCAAATACTGCACATTTATATTTGCAGATGTCGTGCCAGATTTCAATATCAGACATCAAGAATCCCCAGTTGAATAATGTTTTAAATGTTGTTTGTCTTAAACAAACATATAAGCTGGTTATGTGACGTGGTAGTCACTTGAAAATAGAAATCGTGGTCCTGATTTTCAGTAGTCTTGGTTTTAGATATGCATATCTTTTGTTGTTTTTAGCCCCAACAAGACAGAGTTCATCAAGGCCAAATATCAAATGTTGGCCTATGTCCATCGGATGCCTTGTCGGGAGGATGACAGTGTAACCGCAAAAGACCTCAGCAAGGTGAGAAATTGCTCTGTTTTTGAATTGTTTATTTAACAACATTTATTAGATGTACATACAACTAACCCAGCATTATCCCATGTGAATAAGCTTCTTGGAGACAGTAAAACCAATGGCGGTGTGGAGAAATTAAATCACATTTGTTTTCTGAATGCTATGAGTTGCACCCATGTTTTTCTACAGCAGAGCGAGTGCTTTTTGGTTTTTAACTTTGATACCCAAGCACTTCCTATAAAGTTCAGAAACGACATGGCCTATTTATATACTGATACTTAGCATTAAGTGCTGCTGTGACATACTGCCACTCATATTTTCTGAAATTAGTCATGCTCATGCCATGACTATCAAATAGTATAGCCTGTGACTGACCTCAACTCTCAGCTGCCTCTATATCACACTCTTCTTGGATTTGTGCAATGAATTCTCAAGTATTCCTAATGGCAAGATGGATTATATGAATAAGAATATAAGGCATTTCAATAACCATTTATGGTTAACTACAACTAAATTATTTAATTTATAAAAAGAAAAGTGCAAGAATGCCTAGAAGGTATAAAAATGATATTTTTGTGGCATGCAAGAGTTTTTGTCTTTAATGCAACCATAAACTTATATTGTTGTATCTGTGTACCTTTTTTAAATGATACCCCCTTAAATTTCAATAATCTTAACCTTTTATCATTTATATTTGTTTTATGTATTTCCAGCAGAATAATGCATCATGCCCCTCAAATGTATGCAGTAAAGCCAGAACTCTGTGTATTCACAATCAAATTAAAACAAAGTACTTATCAATATCATTTCAGCAACTCCATTCCAGTGTTCGGACGGGAAACCTGGAGACCTGCCTCAGACTCTTATCTTTGGGAGCACAGGCCAATTTCTTCCATCCAGTAAGTCTAGTGGAATAAGCAACAAAACAAATTGTGCAAACTGACATACTACTAATTTTTCATCATTACATTGTTTTGGACCCACAGGAGAAGGGAAACACCCCACTACACATAGCAGCAAAAGCAGGTCAGATGTTACAAGCAGAACTGCTGGCAGTTTATGGAGCTGATCCCGGGGCTCTGGACTCCAGTGGAAAGACCCCTATTGATTATGCAAGGTAAAACTGGGTCTACATTTTAATTTAACACTTGCTATTTGTTCTATGAATTTTTTATGAGGAGTGTGGAGTTTATACTGACATTATATAATTTTCTTAACGTCTTGTGATTTTAGAGATTCCACAATGTGGAACTTACTGTTTTGAGGCATTTAACTCTAAGGCAAGTCATAATTAGGGAAGTTCATGGGCCACTTCTGTCCCGCATTATTTCTGGTGAGCTCTTTGATCTAATCTCACAGCGTTGGCTACATAGAAAACATAGTTATAGTTCCTATTGTTGTGGCTTACGTAACTACCCGGTAGCAAGGCTGCAAGCATCGCCTTAACAGATGCAGCCCAGCTCACTGGTGGCTGTGCTACAGGAAATGATACACATCCTTTGGAGATTTAAAGTACACAGAAAAAAAACTGATGTGAATATAATATGTGCACTATTTATATACTGATGTGATAATGAGGAAATGTTTGACATTGTCACTTAAAAGAAGTCTCAGATGGTAACCAAAAACTGGTAGACATAGCCTAGTGACAAACTGTGAAAAAAACAGTCACCAGCTGAAATAGCTAAAATATTTAGCATGCCTTGCACTACAATGAACACTAGACACAGATCCTAGTGGCATTATGTCAGAGTCTAACTAATTCAATAACGGTGACTGAGACAGGAAGAGAGGGGAGGGAGGGAAAGCTTGTGTAGCAAGTATGGTAGCTGACTCAGCTTGTAGTTTAGCAGAAGTCGATCTGAAGACCTAGAAATAAAATATACAGAAATAAAATAAAAGATAATGGAGCTGACAGTGATATGTCGTTTTAATTATACAACTATACATTTTACTAAATAGATGACATCTGCATTGCACAGTAATGCTAGCTAAAAATCATTGTATCAATAAAGTATTGCCTTGAGTTAAAGAAATTAAAGATTTTGTATAATAATTATATATTTTCTGGTGCATAACTGAGGCTTTGTCTAGGCTTGACTGGTCTTGCTCTGTCACCATGACCAGCTAACACCCACATACCTGCTCCAGTTCTATGCTTAATACATTACTTGAGGCTATCAAACCAACTTTGTACTCTGAATGAGAGTCACAATTATAGTGGCAGTCAATTTTTTTGTTACAGACATCTGAGGCATTCTGTAGCTTTAGTACAGACCTGTATTTCTAAAACATAACCTTTTTATTCCTAATCTGTGCAGACAAGCCGGGCACCAGGAGCTGGCAGAGAGGCTAGTGGAGATCCAATATGAACTCACTGATCGGTTAACATTTTACCTTTGTGGTAGAAGACCAGGTAAGTGATCAAGCATAGCTTCTGTATGGCGATGGAGAGCTAATATTTATTTTTTCTTTTTTATATGGTAATCACTTCCTGTTATGTCCTTGTCGTGTTGTAGATCACAGAAACGGGCAACACTTCATCATTCCACAGATGGCTGACAGGTATGCTCCAAGTTGTTTTCATACTTTCTAGTTAAAGTTTAAATCTTGTAATGCACAGAAAATAATACAAAGTTATAGTATCAGCTCCAATAGGCCACTGGCTGCTAGTTAATATTATATGGTTTTGTTTTATTGTATATTATAAAGGTAACATGATAGACATTCACAATATAATTACAATCGTATTTTTCCCATGCTGCATTGGATGGATAAGAAATAAGTAAGTGTGTTTGTTACTTCTGCCATTGTTTCTCCTTGTTTCCCTGGAATTTTTTCAACAGAAAAAATAATCATCTTTTTTTTTTTTTTTTTTTCTTTCAGCAGTCTGGATCTGTCAGAGTTTGCCAAAGCTGCAAAGAAGAAGCTGCAGTCGGTGAGACATGTCTACTTGTGATTTGTTTCCTATGAGTTCCAAAATGTATTTTCTTTTTCACTTGCTATTAAGTTATTCTGAAAGTGAATCAGAAATTCTGCTTTATTTTGTTCCAGCTAAGTAACCATCAGTTTGAAGAACTTGCCATGGATGTTTATGATGAAGTTGACAGAAGAGAAACAGATGCTGGTGAAATTCCATAAATTTTCAAAAATATATAATGTATAATGCTGTAATATATAATGTATGTTATATATAATTTTTACTTTGTGTTTTTTCAGTGTGGTTGGCCACTCAGAACCACAGCACACTTGTAACCGACACCACAGTTGTACCTTTTCTGCCTGTCAATCCAGAGTACTCGTCTACCAGAAACCAGGCAAGGGATTGCACCAGTTTTGCCCCCTGTTTAAACTTCAGTTTGTTATGTGAAGACTGGATGTAACAGTGCTTTCATGTTTTCTCTTTCTGTTGTGTTTTGATGCATTTGTTTTCCCAGGGTCGTCAAAAATTAGCAAGGTTTAGTGCTCATGAATTTGCTACCTTGGTGATCGATATTCTAACTGATGCGAAACGACGGCAGTGGGGTAATTCCTGCGACAGTCCCAAAGGTAGGATATGTCCTCAAAGTTATTTTATTTTAGCAGCTAATGTACTTTTGTTTTGGGTTTTCTTATTTTACATATTGCAGTAAATGCACTTCTTAACTTATACACAGAGGATGGGAGAGGACTGAGAATAAGCAGTTAAGAAAACATAAATTGGTTGGTGCAAATGAGATGCAGAAAGACAGTATTGAATTTTGTATTCAAATGTGGCCCTTGTGGGCCAGCTTTATAGGCCACAATTAGAGTGTAGACCATGTGCACTAAGCCTGCCAAACACAGATTGTGAATTGGGGCTTTAATAATGAACACTTGTGCATTCTGCAAGTCACAAACCACATCCCAGCCTCTTTTCTTCCTGGTGCAATGTTTGGGTTGATAATGAAGAGCAAGTCTTGATTTTTGGATTCAGTTAAGGAAAATGACATCTGTTCCTTAGCTGTGTAGCTAGCAGGGCCTGTTTGATCTCCAGTCTTATGATCTGGTGGTCTTTCTTCAGAGAATGTGGAGCTGATCCTTCAGGGAATAGACAGTCGCCATAACAGTGAGAGCCAGGACAATGACCAGCCAGATTACGACAGTGTGGCATCAGATGAAGATCCAGTCCAGGAGGCCACTTGTGGGGACAGCTGCAATGATGGAAGGACCAAGGTTAATGTTTGTTGGAATCTTTTACTCTTTTACAAATGAATACGTCATGCTTTACTTTTTAAACTGACCAAATTCCTTCCTGACCTATGTAACATGTTCTCGTGCAGAGCTCAGAGTCATCTGACCTTTCTGATGGACCAATCACAGTGCAGGAGTATATGGAGGTGAAGAGTGCCCTCACTGCATCAGAGGCCAAAATACAACAGCTTCTCAAAGTCAACTGTCACCTGAGTGAAGAGCTGCGAGTGATGCAGAGCAAGGTTAGTGAATTCACATGTAGTTGATAAACAAAGTAGATTTTGTACTGCAGATTCTTTATACTATTTTATTGCAGGTGATTTGCATTATTTTAATTGGATAGTAGTTTGAATTAATTTTTCAAGATCCATATTGAGAGGTCTGTTGCACAGGATTTATGGTACTTACATCTTCTCTGATCCTAATTGCTCTGGTTATTGATCACTTCCAGTTGCATCAGGATTACAAACAATATGCCTTGTTGTGACATTATTACAAAGGCTAGTTATTGATAATACTGCTGTATTCCATTCTCCCATGAGTGAAGTGTATTCAAGTGCTTGAAACTTTCTGTCTTTAAGAGTCTGTAAAACAGTCAGCCTTTAAATGTTGTCTGTGCCAGACCTGATCCTCCTCCATGATACCAGAGACATTTAGTGATTTAATTTCACCCAAGTGCATGAGTAATTCATGGCACGCCTCAATTAAAAATGGCACTATGTATGAATCACTCTGTGTTTGAATTTGTAGCTGCAGGGAAGACTAGAGTTTGGCATATAAATGAATGAAAATACCATGGGGATTTTACATCATGGGTGTAACACAGAAAATGGCTGCTGTGTTTCATGAATAGGTGAAATTCCTGTGGTGATAATTAACAGTCACCCCAAGGAATCTGCTATGCTCTTCAGTTAGACAGCATAGCAGATTTAATGAGTTTATGTGTTCTAAAATTCATACAGAGGTCCAGGTCACATGTCAGAAGTACTAATCCACGAACACAGACGACATGATCCACCATCTTAAATCTACAGAACCATCAAACAGCGACGAGTCAAAAACCACCTAAATGTGATTAATAGTGTTAAAGTGTGGGTGAATCTCTGGAGTTATCGACTCAGTGCTCACCACAACAGAAATGTCATTGAATTGGCTCCACAACACCTACAGAAGGCACTTAGTAAAGTACTGGCAAACCACAACAACCCACAGTCATGTTATGTATATCTTCATTCCAAGCATATGTAGCCACTCAGTTCCTTATTTCTTAGTATTTCCAAAAAGTACATTTCCCCCTAAGCCCCAGTGGTATACATTTAGATATGCACATAGTTGCAGTTTTATTTTCAGAGGTTTTGAGGAAAACCCAAAGTCTTAAAATGTGTGCCACCACCCCAACACAGTGGTGAGAATATTCTGGTTTTTCAGCAAAATACACAAACCTTGGTGTGGACATTTTGTGCTGTTATTCTCACCATTATTCACTTCTCTCTTTGGTAGATAATATTTCCCAATTAAATGGGGTTGGTAAATTTCATGAAATTTAGTTAACTATAGGATCATTCCTCTGTGATCTAATCTGAATCCCATCAATCACCTTAAATCTCTTACTGCTAGACACCTGATACGGTTGTCACGTGTAAAAGACCAGAGGGTTTGTCACCTACACACCCATTTTTGAAGATGGCAGCATTTCATTTGGTTTTCTTCGATACCTCAAAGCTTCACAGTCTAGTTTCTTTCCCTCTACACTTGGCTGAAAGACAGTGTTAACACAATGTACTACCTCCTGCTGGTTTATTTTCTCCTTAACCATGCCGCCTTTCTCTGACATAAGTTGCATTCCTCCATTCTAGTCCCTTATCTTCCTCACCCTTCTTGCACCCACCAGAGCCTCAATTGGTGACACAGAAGAACCCTAATACATTTCCTAATATTTAAGCTAAATAACCTATAAAATCTCCTTTTTAAATATTCATGTCTTGTAAGACAAAGGACCAAACTGTAGTAAACACTACTTTTGTGTTTGTGTTTGCCTGGGAGCATGTAGTTTAGTACTTTATCTGATATCCTCAAAGTTAATTTGTTGACTTTATGTCCTAATTTACATAATTATATTGACAAGAAGTTTAGCAAGCTATGTTTCCCATTGCCCTTTTCTAAACTGAAAAGTGCTGTTCATGTAAATAAGGGCAAGTACTTCTGTTTTTTCAGGGTGTCGTATTTCTGGTGTTTCTGTAAACACACAATCTCATCACTTCATTTGTCAAAGAAACAAACCTTTTGTTGTGAGAAAAAACTTTGAAGGGGAAACCAAAAACAAAACAGCAGTGAAGAAGAACTCCACACAGAGGAATTGCTTTTCTCCTGCAGACTTATCTGTATTCTACTCTATTATTGATGTCTGGCCGAGCTTTTGTAAGGAGATCAGCCCACAGCTAGAGTTGAATTGAAAGATATTTTGTTCTCTACAGCTGAACTCCCTGCAGACTGAAAACACATCTCTGCGATGGCAGACCCCCAGCGGACAGCAACACCTCCAGGGGCCCTTTGGTAGACACCCACCACGCGGGGGTCGTGCCATGTCCATGTATGAGACAGGCTCTACTCCGAGGCAGTACCCCCACCGAGCCGAGACAGCCCGGCATGAGGATGGAGTCATTTTACAACCCTTCCCAACCAATGTAAGTACAAAAGCACCAATGTTCCTGCTGGATTGTCCTCACAGGAGGGCAGAATAATGATGCCTGGCTTGGGGCTGGTGTTGGTTTTTCAGTCATTCAATCATTCATTCAATCATTCATTGCATCTCAATAGAGTATGCTCAACTTGGTTTGACCCCTTTCTAGATTGGGAGGGGTCCTTTGGGGACGGCTGCTTCCTCCCTCCCTACCTTCCCCTCTTCCCTGTCCTGGTCGTGGGACGAGAGATCTCGAAGGGTTAAGTACTGAAGTTTAGTCGCAGCCCAGGGGATGGTGAAAACCGTCCCCCTGCTTGACCCCACAGTCTTCTCTCTCCTGACCTGTGTCTTCAAACTGCTTTTTTTTATCAGTATCACCTTTCTGCATGCATGCACCACAGTGCCTCTGCTACAGTTCAGTTACCTGATTATCTCCAGCTTTTTCTGTACAGTGAACCTCAACCAGAGCCGCTGCTTTCTCTAGGACACATCAGAAATGATGATGAAATGTTGCACGAGAGAAAGTTGTTTGAATGATCAGACAGCAGAGTCCAATATCCAAGAAAAATAAAATGGCTCATAACAATGTACCACTGATAAGAGAACAGACAGTTTATGTCGGGATTTCTTTGCATCTACTAATCGCATCCACTGCAGTATGCACTGTTACACCACAATGACCTTGTTGTATATTTCCTGTCTTTTTCTATTTATCTGCTTTAAAACCAAATGTCGTATAGTGTGGTCATGGCTTTGTTTTCAGAAATGCATGATTCAGTTGCTCCTGTAATAAGTCTGTACTAATCATATACACTATATGCTGCATTTGATTGATTGTAATCCACTGATGTGTCTATAGGGCTGTAGTTTGGAAGGACGGAGCACCATGTTGGAAAATGATTGCGACACTACGCCTAATCACTCTGAACTGGAGGAGACTGGGTAAGACCTTTTTAAAGTTGACTTTGTACCCTCCTGTCTAAAATGACAATGACTTACACTAACTGTTGATTTTAAAACACTGTTTTCTCTGTGGTTTGTACACTTTACCACTGATTTCTTTGCTAAAATCATCTGATTGGTTCTTTAACTTAATACATATAAATTTTTCGTTTATATACCAACTCTTGGTATATAATGATTTCATTGATTTTAAGTTTCAAGCAGGATTAACTGACATAAACTGCCATTAAAAGGAAGGAAAGAAATGAAGTAAGAAACTCCCAGAAAGAAGCCTGGAATTGAAGTAATGCGAAGGTTTTTCTTCTTGTTTCTGGTGCTACAGATGATGACGTTATTGTATCAAAAGCTTGCAACATTAAAAGTCACATGAAGAGGGGGGACATAGCTAGACTAATATTAGTTTTGACAGATTTTTTAAAAAGATGCCTTGATTGGTTCAATCTGTCTGTACAGCAGTAGGACTTTCACCTGTCTGATGTAAGCTACCAGTTGCAAAAAATCAACATATGAAAAAGAGCCAGCAGCCCTGTAGGTCATCTGTCTCTAGTTGTTCTTTTTCCATTTACATACTTAACTCAGCTGTATTTTTCAAATTACAAATCAAGCTGCTGGGTCTGGTAATGGTATTTCACTTAATTCACAGTCAGTGTACTGCAAACCAGAAAAAAAAATCATTTTTCTCAAAACTCTTTAATATTTAAGATAACATATATAACAATTGTATTATTTCTTCACATGTAGCAGCCCTCTTCCATCCTCTGATGGTGTGGAACCAGAGGAGGGTGAGGAAGATGCCACGCTGCCATGCACAGAGGACGTCATCTGCAAGACGGAGCAGATCACTAAGAACATACAAGAGCTTCTGAGAGCTGCCCAGGAGACCAAACATGAAAGGTAGTGTATGATTATGAGAGAATATAGAATTGATAAACAATGTTATAATTAAATGGCATAAAACGAGTCAACTTCTGAAAGAGTAAATATATTCAAAGATCAGATCTTCTGATTATTTGACATGCTATAAGCCATAGTGTGCATCTTGTCAGGCCATATATTTAATCTGTGCCTGTATTTCTGTCATTTCATCTGCTCTTTTAGTAAATGGCATAACTCTTATCTCATCCCCTTCTAGGTCAGTGATTTTCAATAGTTATCCTCTGGGCCCAGGGCCCTGCTGGTTTTCATTCATTTTAGCCAGCTAACTGGTAACTGGTTTTCACCTGAGTTGCAATGTTATCAGTCACATAATATAGAAAACCAGCAGAGCATTGGAGACTGGGATTCACTGTTTTTGACCCTTGTCGACCGGCCTCTGTCCCTGTGTGCTAGAGGCTCTGTGTCTGCTGGGGTTAGGCCTTGTGTCTTTCAATGCAGCTGACAGGAAACAAACACCACATGTTCATGTTCCCCTGTGACCAGCCAAATTCACAGCGACTAACTGAGGTTTCCTGTATTTATCTGTTTGTTAATGGTAAATGGTCAATATCTCACATCTTACTTCTTCAGTGTAAAGATTTTGAGGTTAACTCTCCGTAGCATCTACTTGAAGCTCATGGTTTTTCTTAACATGTATAAACATTATGGTATTATGGAAGCTGTGAACATTTGAACATTAATTCTTTCAAAGATATCACTGGTCTAATGCAGGCATTCACAGCTTGATTATTGACTTCTGCTATTAGGATATTGGTCTCATGGGCCAAATAAAATTACTTTCAGTTTGAGTATAAGTCATGATGTTTATGTATTTATCCTTTCATCCAGTGTCACTAAAATGAAAGTTTTTTGTTTAGAACTCTCAAGAACCATGTTGTTTTTCACCCAAGCTGGTTATCTCTGATTTCCTCTGCACCTGTACTACTTTTGCATATGGTTAATCACATTATCAAATAATTATGGTAGATGCGTAGTGCATCAGACATTGCAGTCTCCCATTTGACGATACTAGCAACTAGTCAAATCACCTTAACGAGGAATACTGAAGTTGTGTGAACATTATGTCAAAATAGCACAGGTTAATTGTAAATATGTGAATGAGATGTACAATGCACATTATCTCATTACGAGTGTTCACTCATAAAAGGAATATGACCTCAGGCCATTCTTTTTAAGTTTCTCGATGGGGAATGTTTTGCGGTAGTTGTTTGGTATCAGTGTTTTTATATGTGACAGGAGTGGTTGATCATCCATTCATCCTTTTGTCTCCATCTACAACAGCTTTCTGCCTTGCTCTGAAAAGATCTGCATGGCTGTGACAGAGATGGCCGCCCTGTTTCCCAAGGTAAGATGACTCCCAGCAACAGCGTGGCGTCCCTCCCCCGAGTAATTAAAGGATTTGTTGTTCATTTGAAAACAGCTAAAGGGAATTACTTGTCTAGATGGGTAGGCCTTGCTCATTGCATTACCTTGTTTTATGTTTACCAATTATTGGATTACTTTGTTTTATGTTTACACACACACACACACACACACACACACACACACACACACACACACACACACACACACACACACACACACACACACACACACACACACACAGAGTGCCCATGGGCCTACTGACCACAATGAGAGTTAATTTTATGGGCGTTGTCATGTGAGTCCCTTATTGAGTCTCTCATCATCTCTCCCCCCCCCCCCTGCAGAGGCCGTCCTCAGAGACTGTGCGAGGGTCTCTGTGTCTGCTCACGTCGAGTGCCAGCCGACTGCATGGAGAGTGCCAGAAGGCTGCAGATCACAACCCCTGCCCATCAGACATCCAGCTGGTAACTCAGCAGGTCATCCAGTGCGCCTATGACATTGCCAAAGCTGCCAAGCAACTTGTCACTGTGACAACCAAAGAAAATAACAACTAACTAAAACCCAAAGACATTTCTGATACACCCAAAATACAGTTTATCAACGATGTTGCTAATTAATCATTTAACACCATGTTTTGTTTTCCCATATTAATCAGTGTAAGCATTTACATACATTCCTTGACATGGGAAAATCTGAAAAAAAGATATACCATACAAAATTATAGATCATTCAAAAGCTTTATTTATTTAGTTGTTTTGTGCCATGGTATCATGGAGTAAACAAACATCTTAAAAGATATAGGACAGAATTAGTTACAATTCTCAGATCAGATTAATCCACACAATTTCCAAAAGTGCAATGTTGTGTGTGTGTATATATAAAACAATCAGAACAACAAGCAGTTGAGCCTTCTACATTGTACTTTTGTTCTTAGTACTTTAGTGGACACCAGAGGTCATCGATTGTGCTCCTTGAGTCTTGTTTCTGTCATGGCTGAGCTGCCAGAAAGGACCAATTGTCTGCAAGACACTGGCCATCAAGGATCAGAATATATGAACCTTAATCTAATCCAGTGACATTGGTTTATTTTACTTAAGCCATTTTAAATGTTTGTTTGTTTGTTTTTTTGTAAGATCCAATGATAGTATTTTAATCTTGAATCATCGTGATGCCACTTGCTTAGAGTTCAAATGTTTGTTTCGTAAGCAAACTGTGATTAGAAAAAAACAGCTTCAGTGCATTGAGCACCATGCAAGGCCAGCAGTACCAAGAGTGTGCAAACTTTCATTCCATCCAGTCCCTCCGCGCTGGTTAAAGATGTGTTTATAAGCAAGGAGGTTTCTGTAGTTTTTGGAGTTCTGTTACAGCCATACTTCTGATGTGTGTGTGTGTGTGTGCGTGCGTGCGTGCGTGCGTGCGTGCATGTGTGTGTGTCTGTTTCTGTGTGTGTGTGTGTGTGTGTGTGTGTGTGTGTGTGTGTGTGTGTGTGTGTGTGTGTGTGTAGGCACGCAGTTGACAAAGAGATGGCCTCGATGGTCCGTGTGAAATCCATTTTGAATCAATTTTAATAGCATTATGCAAATATATAAGATGTATGTATCCATGTAATTCTTTATCAAAATAATCCAAATGCTATTCTATTTATAAACTGTATGTCATACCTCTAAGAAAATATCAATGTTTATTTTCATAAGCTTTTGTTTAACATGATGCTCCTCACAGGCTAACTTTTGTTCTGAGGTTTGGGACGTCTCAGCTGGCAGTTAGTTATAGGCAACTTGTGATCACTGTTTATTTGATGTGGTGCTGTAACTCCGGTGTGTTAGATGCTGCCTCTGGTCAAATGCGTACCGCTATGGTTTACAATCAATGATAAAGTAAATGTGCCCTCAAAGTTAGAGTACCTGTTGTAGAACCTGGGTCTAATGTGTCACTCATTGTTGTGAGCCAGAGGTTTGAGCCAGCGGTGGAAAGAGAACTAGAATACCACACACAGGTGGAGTACAGATAAGTCAGTATTACCCAAGTAGGAGTAAGATTACCTGTGTTCATTCAAAAGTAAAAAGTACCTCTTTTGAAAACTTGTTACTTTAATTTACTTAGTTACATCTGGTCAACATTAAAGAACTGGCGCAGCATCCTGACTGTAACCTTTTCAATATGAATATTCAGCACCATCCCTTAAGCAGTCCCTCTCAACTTCAGTAATGCTTTCCAAAGGGGAGAACATCTTTTCTTTATAAGAAAGCTTTCTCAGAAGGCTGCGCATGGGAGGAAAAGAGGGTCAAAGCTTCTTCAGTACACATTATTATTTTATTAATGTCTACTGCTAATTTAAAAAGTTTCAAGTCATCCTTTTTTAAAAATAATAAAAAAAATCTTTACTCAAGGTCCATTTATTAGATTTTTCGTGAACTTTTAGCTGCATCCCAGTTTAGGAGTTTGTTACGAAGATCATTTTCTCAAATTTTCGTTCTTTTTTTTTTTTTTTTTAATATTGTTTCTTTGTTAGAAATTAAAAATGTATTGTATTTTTTATTTTCTTGTATGAAAGTAACTGGTGGTTATTTTCTTGTATGGTGGTCTGCTCATCAGACCACCATACAAGAAAATAACCACCAGTTACTTTCATTTTTCTTGTTTCAGTGATGCATTCAATGTTATTTTCATTTTAATTGGCTTTAAAAAAAAAAGTCATAGGAGGTTTTAAAGCAAGACCATGTAACTTCACCTGAACAACAGCCGCTATGGCCATAACTGAAACTACAACGGTAAATGCTAAAATGTAGTGCAAGAAGAGACCCCACCACATATTTATAAAGCAATAGCTATCTGAAGTTTGGCAACATTAGCCACCATAAGTGGTGGTACTAGTGGTCATACCAGACCGATTACAGCAATTTTAGCAAACCCACTCAGTGTAATGAATTCAGCTATTTGATTCATTTTATTGCTTATGAATTAAAAATTCCAATTGCAAGAGGGTGAATGTGTTAATTCCTCTTTCCAAAGTTGGATAGTCTTGCTTTAAATCTGAGTTCATTTCAAAATAAATATCCTGATTGGGCCATGAGCACACTGACTAATACTTTTCAACATAGTTAAGTTATTCATCTACAGTGAAAGTTAAGAATAACGTTTTTTAGACTGTGGGCTACTTGGACAATTAAGTGCATGTATTCAGTTACTTTCCACCCCTGGTTTCAGCCCTGACATGTAATTCCCTGTAACTTATAGCCTACCACTGCCTCTGTGGTTGAAAACAATCCCTGCCTTAGGTATAATAAAGTATAATTCATACCTCAAACGAGCTCAGTGACGTGTTTTGTGTTGAGTGTTGTGGACATACAACTGTTTTTTTTTCACCATTTTCAACACGCCCATGTTTAATCTCCCACCTGTCGGAGAAGTACGAAAGTGATAGAGACGGCGCTTCCCCCCCCATCTGACAAGAAGAGAGTTCCGGGTTCTTTCCAGCCGAGAGCTGCTCGCTACTACTACTGCTGCTGTTTTACCACGGAGATCACGACTGGACCATGGCTCTTCTACTGGATAACCAATTCCGAGAGCTGCCTCCTGACAAGTCGGTAGACACAAAGTTATTCTTGGAGGCCGTATCTCACATTCCTTTATTTTTTGGTGAGTACACCTCTATCTGAAGTCGATAAAAACGTACGTAAGGTGACTCTTCTTAAGAGACGCTGCTGGCGCTCCGCAGTCGCCGTCACGGTTCATACTTTGCTGACTTGTTCCTCATGATATGTTGATTCAAATGACTTGTCCCTCATCGGATCCCATGAGTGGGCCTTTTAAGACAGGACGTGGTTATTTTCACACACGGCTGAAGTGGAGCGGCTGGGTCACGGTGGGGGTCTGAACCAGCTGCGGCCGTGAAGCCTATAGAGAAACTCTTTGTTTACTCATTGAACAGAGCACACATTGACCTCATTGTGACTTAACTGAAACTATGCATTCACTGCATTTTTCCCTGTTTGTAAAGGCTGATTTGTATTCATCCTCCCCTCTCTGAGCCTGGGGACATGTGTGATGAAGTCATTCATATTTTATTGCTTTGCTCTCAAATTTCTTCTTTTCTTTCAGACTGCTTGGGATCAAAAGTATTCTCAATTATCAAATCCGACATTAATGGCAATATAATGGTAAGATACAGATCTGTCTGTGTTTTTATGCCTCTGCTTGTACACTGGTGTGTTGTCATACCACAGTTAGGAATTTAAATGTGAGCATGGGTTTCATGGTGCAGCTCCCTACTTGCAAACTCAACCCAAATATGCATTTTCAGAAAATTAAAGCGGTGTATGTTCAGGATCCTGCAAAGTACGTCACCCTGCAACACATCCTGGAGGCAGAGCGAGAAGCCCACGGAGCAGAATGGCCTAAAGTTGGAGCAACATTAGCTTTGATGTGGCTGAAAAGGTGAACACTCCCTGAACTCACTGTTATGTCATACTGTATGGTGAACTCCCAGCTGCCCAACTGAAGCAGACATACTCATTTTTTCTTTTCTTTTTCAATACTGGGTCTCTCCTGCAGGGGTCTCCGTTTCATACAGATTCTGCTGCAGAGTTTGGCAGATGGGGACAGAGATGAGAACAACCCCAACCTGATTCGGGTCAATATCACCAAAGCCTATGAACAGGCGCTGAAGAAATACCACGGCTGGATTGTGCAGAAGATTTTTAATGTGAGGAATATAAAAACCCTGACCCATTTGAAATTGTGGTTTGATGTTGTCTCAATATACAGCATCAAATAAGGCGTTTCTATGCAAGTTTATCTTGCATCCTTTAAGTATATTTTTCTTGCTTTCTTGTGAATTGACCTTTGTGTAAACCAACTTCCAATTTATGTTAATGCTTTTTTTTCTTTTCGGTCATTGCAGGCAGCGTTACTTGCAGCTCCTTATAGGTCTAACTTCCTTAAGGCACTGTCAAAGGGAGAGGAAGTGAAAGAGGAGGATTGTCTTGCAAATGTGCGTCAGTTCCTGCTTAATTACACTGCCACTGTAGATGCCATCTACGAGATGTTCACGAATCTAAACGCAGAGCTGGACTACACTGTTTGATGTCCTAGGACATACGGTGACTGGAGATGCAGGAGCGTCCTGCATCGCTATCTTCCACTAAGTCCACTTTTGAAAGATGTTTTTAATAGTTGTTTTATTTTTTGCTTTCAGTGTGGTATTTATTATTTTGATTATGCCTTACTAAATATTAATACTGTATATTTGGTCCTAAAATTATTCAATTGCCTTAAATTTAAACAATCATTCTCGCAGAATTTTATGTTTTATGTTCTTATATATAATTTCAATTAATTGCAAGATTGTCAAAGCAACAGGGCAGCACTCACTCTTATGCAGGATTTTGTTACTGTGTGAGTTGCTGTTTTATTTATCACATTAACTGGTGACTTTCACCTGTTCCATCAGAAGAGGAATACAAGACTGTAAACGCTGTTATAACAGGAAAACAGCCCTGTTAATACTTAACATTCAGATGTTCTCTGCCTCCTGAGCCCTGGAGTTCCCTCCGCTGTTAACCTGGGAGCAGCGGCCCCAGAAGTAATTCTAAAATTTTAATGGTACATTTCCAGTTGTATAAGTGCTGGAATCCACTGAGTGCCTTGGTGTTACTGAATAAATACATAATCTTTTCAAAGTAAGCTCAGAGTTTATATATTTGCCATCAATTCTGTTTTAGAGAGAGAGAATATTTTTTCCCTTTGAACTGTGTGTGTGTGTGTGTGTGTGTGTGTGTGTGTGTGTGTGTGTGTGTGTGTGTGTGTGTGTGTGTGGGGGGTTGTTTAGGTGTGGTTGAGCTGGTTTGTTTGTACTGTTCTGTGGCCTGCTTTGTTCCGATTTATGCCTCAAACTAACCGAAGCGTGACGTGACAGCATGTTATGGTCACATTTATTAATAAATGATTAATTAGATCAACATTTTCTGTATGAATACTTAAAGATGGTTTGTTTCTGGATAATCAGCCATGATCAGATTTGTTCGTATTTTGAGATCTTAATGTTTCACTAAAAAAAACTGTTTAAACTGCTAGTCAAACCAATAAAATCACACTTACACATTCAGTTCCTGAATTTTACTCTAGGTGGCGATATTTACTTGTTTTTTGTTTCTCTTTTAATCATATTTATGGTGCAGCTACTGCATGAGACATTTGAAATGACGTTACTGATAAGAATCATATTATATGTTACAAAACAGATATAGTTCCAGTCTCAACCAAACAAGATCTGAAGTGGCTCTTTAAAAACAGTTTTTATGGATGTTTTATTGATGTTGTCTGTCATTCTTCAAGAGCTGCTTTGTGAAAGGCTCTTGATAACCTCAATTTGCCCTCAGCAAAAATGTTTCCAAGGCCAACTGTTGACAAAAATGTTCAGTACAGTTGAGTTGGAACATATATATATATATATATATTTATATATATATATATATATTTTTTTTTTTTTTTTTTTTTCCAAACATTAGCAGTAAATCTGAGGAAAATCCCCTCTCTTTTTCATGTCTCCTAATCCTCCAAATCAACCAGCCTCTTTCTCTGCCCACTCTTACTTATCTGAAGTGTGTCCCAGAGGAGCCAGAGTGGCTCTGGTTCCTCTCCCAGAGAAGCCCAGTCTGAGCTAATCGTCTCTGAGCGAGAGCAAGAGGAGCATGTCTGTAATCCTGTAGGTTTATCAGAAGAGCGTCCTGGCCTGTCCCGACTGATAGATAGGATGGAAAAGCTCCAAGCGAAACCAGGACACAATAGGAAATCATTTACAACAAAGCCTCAATGACAAAGCCACTGACCTTTAACTCTGCAATATTTATCAGCAATAAAGTCATCAATTGAATATTGCAGTTTTATTCGCAACAGTACGTCTACTGCCATTATTCACGCCATCTAGGTTATTTGTTTTGTAATAGGCTACTTAAAGTGGGTGTGCTGTGGTGATCTAAACTACATTACTGCTATAGCATCCAATTTAGGGGGACAAATGAAGCGAAATAAGAGGTGCATGCAGGCACACCATCTAAGATTAGCAATTCAGTAGCTGGGTAATAGCAAGCCCAATTCCAAATCGTGTGAACAGTAATATTCTTGTGGATGTATCTTCAAGAAAGCATGTATTTTTCATACACAAATGTAATATCTTAAGGAGAAGGCCAGTACATTTATATGTATTTTGAAATATTCAATGGCTCCCGCCTCAAGCGTCGACTATTCATCTAGACTAACATAATTCACTATAACAAAATTACCGCTTTCAACTTGCATCATTTATATAGGAACCAGTCCAATGTGTTTTAGCTAAAGATTGACTTACATCATAATGTAAACCTGAGATCCTCCAGTGAAAAGATGGATCTTAATAAAATGAAATCTGACTTAAAAAAAAAAAAAAAAAAAGATTTGCCTAGTGGTTAAGCTTTAAATCCCTTTGCAATAAGAAAAATGTCTAATTTTCCCACAACCACTTTATCATTCATGAATATAATCAAACCATCTCCTCAGCTCCACGTTTGACAGATAGTAACTAATAATATGCAATAACACAAACTATTTGCTGGGTTTAGAAAATTTCATTTACTTGACAATCCTTATTAAGAAGAGGCAAAAAAGGGTGAGGGATATTAGGGTCATACATTGCAAAATGTAGTTATTTCAACAACATACTTCATGGAGAGCGCTCACATGTTCATATATAATAATTGCACTTTATAATTATAGAGACAGTTTGCTATGTAACTCAACAGGCCGACATAAATAAATAGTATTACAGAACCAGTGCAGACACACAAAGATCTATTCAGTCATACATTTCACACCATCAGAGATAATATAGCCCTACAAAGAAGATACATGTAAATGATTCAGGTGGCCTGCTCTCCAACATGGCACTCCATTATACCCAGGTGTTGTGTAACAGTGTCAGAACCCTCAAGAGAAAAAACATTATGTCATTCAAGAAAAAAATGTCAACACAACCTCTTACAATTTTAAATGTTAACAAAAATACAACCAAAGGGCACATCTTGCTTGGCCTGAATGCCACAGTGTTGATTTGGATATGCAACAGTCCTAATATGCTGAGCTGAGCATGACTACATTAAATCAATTAAGATGTTAAATTACATAACTTTGTCTATGACTGCATAACAGAAAATATATATTCACATTTGTACGCAAAAAATGTTTCCCCATACAGTGGCCAGGAGATTTGCATCATATTGCAGAAGCTGGGGCAGGAGTCACTGAAAATAGGACAAAACAAAACGCACAATAAAGCAGCAGACAACCAAAATTTCAGTTCATAATTGAGGGACGTTCCCTCTAAAATAAGAAGCCATTGTATGTAAAAATATACAATATATTCACAAAAACTGTTACCAGAGAGCCTTCCCAGATTCAAGTGTTTTTAGAAGGGTACCAATGATTATTTCAGTCCAGCAAGTGTCCATTTTTTTTTTGTAAAGGCCTACAGAGAAATCACCTGCAAAATAGACAGTTCATGTTTAAAATGGAACGGCAGATTCTGATTGGGTGCTCAGCATCAGTATTAAATGAAGAACAGCAGGCATATTTGATGGCCATTTAAGATATAAAAATAAAACATGAAAAGTCCATAAGATTAACTTATATCTTAAGTCATGATTATCATTTACCTTCAGGCTTGGAAACACAAAGCCTTCTACAAATACAGTACATGCACAAACTAAAAAGGCATGTCTCATTCTCATAGATGTCTGAACTGACGCACTTCCACTGTCTATAATAGGTTTGTCACTCCTGCGTCCTGTTGTGTGCCAGCACCTGGTCTTATCTGTAGACAGGGAGTTGGATGTGGGTTTGCTGGTGGTGCTCCAGCAGCTGAGGCATCCCCATGGCTTCGTACCCACGGCCCAGCATGCGCTCTTTGATGCAGGGAGGGTGGATCTCACTGATGAGGCACTCCAGAGACTGCAGGCTGCTGCTAAGTACTGCAGCGTGGCACAGGCTAGAACTAGGCAGCCCACAACAGAGGTTTTGGTCTTTGCTGTAGGCCTGGGTATGAGGAGGAAGGGGAAGGTGGAGCTGCGGCTGGTGACGCTGAGGGTGGTGGTGGTGGTGGTGGTGGTGGTGGTGGTGTTGATGGCGGTTTGGGTGGAGGTGGGGATGGGAGAGCCCCAGGTCTCTAGGCCTGGCTGCACATGTACCCGTTGCCAGCACCTGAGAAGTATAACAGTCGCTGTTAGGGGTGGCCACAACACTGTCCCAGAGAGGAGCAAAGTACTGTCCGACAGAGAACTCCCCCGGCATGGCAGCGCAGTTCAGAGAGGAGCTGCTGACTCGCTCCTGCCCAGCTCCCACGCTGGGGGGATGCGGTCTGTAAGACAGCTGCGAGGAGCACGCCAAAGGGAGGCAGGTTTCAGGAGACTGGCCAACCCCAGCCTCTGCTGCTCTATGCCCCTGAGCACTGTTACTCACACTGTACATCCTCACTGCTCCCTGCTGATACTGCTGCTGCTGAATCTGATGTTTGTGCTGCCACACCGTGTAGTCTCCTTTCTCTAAGTAACCAGCTTTGGCTATGTCTGCACTCTGTGTCGGTAGCACTGCCCCTGTGAATGCCAGACTGCTCTGGGGCGGCACTCCCAGGACAAAGTCTGAGTCTGAATGTGCCACTGCAGCCACGGCCTGCAGAGATGGGCTGGCTCGAGCCTCTCCCCCCAGCTGCAGGGTCTGGCTGTGGGGAACTCTGCTCATCTGCCTCATCAGGCTTTGAACCTCTGCCAGCTCAGACTGGGGGGCCAGGCTCTGATCTCCGGAGGCCATCCCTGCACTAGAACAAAGCGTCTCAATGGGTACATCAGGCAGCTTACATGCGCTTATATGATAGGCCTTGTGCCCATGTCTGACAGTGTAGCCATTATTCAGAGGATTATTATACGGCGCCACAGAAGCCTGGGAGTTTGCATGTTTAGTCCTCCTGCCCTCTGAGTTTTTCACCACACCTTTGACCACCACAGAGGCTTTGACGATGGCCAACAAGCCCTGATATCCTCCTGAGTACGGGTGTGAATACGGGCTAAAGCGGGGACCTGTGGTGTCTAGGCCGTTGACCGTTTTGTTGAGCTGTTTATGCTGTGGCACCCGGACGTCAGATGGAAAGATTTTGATGGACAGTGGGCTGTTGGCGGTCTTCTGGGCAAAAGCATCCAACTCTGCAGGAGAAGGATACCGAGAAATCATGGAGGCCGGCTCGCCTGAGAAGAAAGCGAACAAAAAGAAGTGATTAGTCCACAAGATGCCCAATGAAACCTTGTATCTTTTGTTTTCTGTTGTTTTGGGTTTTTTTTTTTTTTTTTAAACCTATTTTAGGAAATAAATGGGAGACATCAACTAATTTTATGGAGGGAAACACCTCCAGCACTGCTCGATCAGTGTTTAATGAAATTAATTCAGACTGTTCAACCTAGAATTAGTTTACCCAAGGAAATCAGAAGAAGCGCAGCGGCAACAGGACAGGGGAGAGGAGCTAATTTTACTGCAGCGGCTCCAATGAGAATCATTTGAAGACAGCTGGAGGAGCAAGTGGAAGCTGGATGCAGTAAATCTTTAAAAATCACTAATTGGATCTCACCTTACTAATTGATATTTCAGTAATTTGTTTGAATGCTACAATTCTTCATAGCTGATCCACACTTACTTTTTGGCTGTTTCTCAATAACTCTGTGATCATTCAAGCATCATCAGTTCCTGCCTATAA